TGATCCTTGATCTGGAGAGCAGCAATGGACTCAGAGTTTATAGTTGAAGAAATGTTGCCCGTTCCCTGTAGTTTTGACAATGGTGTATACAGTTTTAAAAGTTTTCAGATGCAGTTTTCAGATTACTTTGTATTAATGGATCATGCATGCACGTTTTTAATTGGAAGCATCAAGAGCTTGACTTGCTAAGTGCACTATAAATATTGCTTTCTAAAAGTTATATGTTGCTCTTTTAATAGGATTTATCTATTACTTTTGTAAAGCTACAAAGCAATATTAAACTCTCTCTATATATATCTATATAGATGTATGTATATGTGTGTGTAGTTCTTGACTTACAACTACAATTGAGCCCAAAATTCCTGTTAAGTGAGACATTCGTTACATGACTTTTGCCCAATTTTTATGACCTGTCTTGCCAGAGTTGCTAAGTGAATCACTGCAGTTGTTAAGTTACTAACAAGGTTGTTAAGTGAATCTGGCTTCCCCATTGACTTTGCTTTCAGAAGGTTGCAAAAGGTGATCACATGACCCCGGGATGCTGCAGCCATCGTAAATATGAGTCACCAAGCATCTGAATTTTCATCATGTGACCATGGGACTGCTGCAGGAGTCATAAATATGAAAACCAGTAATAAGTTACTTTTTCCAATGCTGTTGTAAATGTATAGTCACTAAATGAGTAGTTGTACGTTGAGGACAATCTGTATACACATGCTCTTATTAATATATATCAGGATTTTACTAAAGATCGACTAAAGCGTTTCAGAGCAGTTGATGAATTACATAAATTGTACATACATATATGTTTATATTTATATATTTAGTTGTTTAGCTTGAGGACAAGGGCCTTCCTTTGATCTGAAGAACTAAATAATGCTTCAAGGTCAGCTGTCAGGGTTCCAAATAATAGACCCATGGAAAGCAAAACTCTGAGGCAGATAGATTCCTCAAAGAGTAGCTTTATTTGGATATATCATATTGGCTCAGATCTGGTGAAAACTGACTGGAGATTCCCACGTTTTTCACCTAGTTAAAAGTAAAAGTTTTGTCACTTTCTCAAAACAATCACACGATCCAATCATGGTGCCATCTGGTTGCCTGGTGATATCACTCCGCCTTCCTCTGAACAGGTGTGGGAATGTCCTTGGTTCCCAAGAGAAAGTATTTTGTTTTGGCTACAAAATCGCAGCTATCTCAATTCCCCCCTTCCCTATCCCTCAGCTCCAGTGTGGCAACACTGAAGCTGTCAAGATGGCTTCGGTTAGGTCAGCTTCCGGTTTGACATCATCCCTGAAATATTTCCATAGTATTTGCTTTATTATCCTACTCTCCAGTGAATTTCAATGGGTGGCACATTGCGCAATGAGGAGTTGTTGCCAAAAGGCTCATGGTGCAATTCTAAGAAATAGAAGGAAGTGGGAAATTACCAGCCCATTCCAACATAGTTACTTTCGACTTCTGAAGAGGAAACTTGTAAAATATGCGGGGACTGGTGAAAAAGAGAGTAAAAGGCCACGATGGTTTCAGCTCTTCATGGTACCCGGAAGTTATTTAAAACCAGAATAATTGTGACTATGGCATAATGTTTACAGTATGAGAAGGGGTCAGCCAAACCATCGATTTGACTAAACGTATTCCTCAACGACCACAATTGGGACCAGAATTCCTGTGGCTAAGCAAGGAGGTTGCTAAATGGAGCCATGCATGATTTTACCTAAGGAATAGAAGTACATTCTAGCTCATTTATTGTATTGTATTATTGTAGGTTTTTTAAAAAAAATTATCACATTTATATGGCTGCCTGTCACATGGATGTGACTTGCGGGGGGGGGGGGGGGCATGTAATAAAACAGAACAATTTAAAAAAAATTAAAACATAAATATAACTAAAACCCTGAAAGAGCAACTTCGAGATCATTCCTACCATGTAGCCCAAGGGTGTCAAGCTCAATTTCATTGAGGGCAGCATCAGGTTTGTGTTTGACCTCGTGGGGCTGGGGTGGGTGTGGCCAGCATGGTGTCACTTGTGTTGGGGGGGGGCACCTATGGTGGCCCAAGCACTCTGCCAGTGAAAATGGGCTCCCGAGCTCCGTTTTTGGCTGCGACAGCCTCCTGCAACCCTCTGCCAGTGAAAATGGAGCTCAGGAGGGCTGTGTGCGGCCCTTGCGAGCTCAGTTTTCACTGGTGGAGGCACCATGGGCCGGTCCTTCACTATTTCCAGGGAGGCCCCGCAGGCCAGATCCGGTCCCCAGGCCTTGAGTTTGACACCTCTGATGTTCCCCGCTTCTATGGGATCCCCAAAACTCGAATTTTAAGAGGTTTCCAGAAAATCGGGAGGCTCTCGGCCAATCTCCCTTTGGAGTAGGGGGTGACAATGTCCCATAGGATGGGTTCCAGAGCAGAGAAGGCTCACCTTCTGGGTCCCATCAGATGGAACTCCTTAACAGGCAGGATCCATAATGAGTCTCTCCTTCTGGACCAGGTGAGATGGGTAGATGTAACCAGGGAGAGGAAATCCCTCCAGTAATTAATACTAGATTAATTGGGTAGATTACATCCTATCTACAATTATATAGAATAGATTCCCCCCCCCCCCCCCCCGAATTATGCTTGTTTTACATGGAACTGCATAAATTATATTTTGATTGTAAGTAGTATGTTGTTTGGAAATAAAGCTTTATGCACAAATTCAAGGCATCATTTTAGCTGTTAATGCCACAGTTTCCCTTGCCATTCTTTGAAAAGGCATTTGAACTCATGAATAACTTCCCAACACACACAGACATTTGTGCTAAACAATTCATATAGATACACATATGTGGCTTTTTGAAGCAAAATCTAGGCCAGTGATGGCTTTCTGTCCTCATGTGCCAAAAGTGTGCGCATACAGGCACGCACGCACGCATGCCAACACCCATAAGGCAATGCATGCGGGCACTTCCTGTGCATGCGCGGAAGACCCCTGCATGCACGCCACATGCGCGGCAGCTACCCAATGATCAGCTGGTGGGCGGCGGGCGCACCTATGCAGTGGACCTGCTCTGGGGCGACGGCTTGTGTGCCGGCGGAGATGGCTCTGCGTGCCACTTGCGGCACGCGTGCCATAGGTTTGCCATCACGGATCTAGGCCTTCAGGTCAGTATTGACGAATGTCTGAGTTAATCCCTGCAGTTTCCTCAACATTAAAATGGTTTGCTACCGCTTTCTTCCTAGGGCTGAGAGACAGCACATGACTCATTGTCACCTCAGCTGATTGTAGGATCTTTTGGCTGAACTGAGCTTTGGAGTATAGAAAGATTCCTTTGCTAAATGAAATCTGGATGCCAATCATGAAGAGTGATACAGTTTTGCTTATCCTATGCACAAAGATTCTTGCTTGCTCTGTGCAATATTGTGAATCTTAGAGGTTTGCATTTTTTTCTGAATATACAATGAACAAGAACCAGGGGTGTCAGTTTACACATTTTCTATCCCTTCTCTCCATTCCTCCTTTTCAGTAATTATTACCAGCCATTGCTTCTGGTTATGATTATTTTACTTGATGTATGATGGAATATAGCAATGATAGGACAAATGGTTTAATATAAACATTTTTTTTCTGACTGTGATTTAAATATAAATTCTAAGACATCTTGACATGATCATAATAATTAGATTGTCTAAAAATACACGGTTTGTTTATGCATGCATAGGGGTGTATGTGTACACATTTTCCTCCATTGCAGTAAAAATTTCAGAGTTCCCTGGAAGCCTCTCCTAGCTATTCATTTCATCGGAAGAGGCTTCTGTGCCTCTATTGCCCATGTGCAGAAATTTGGCATCCAGTAGCTCTTCTGGCTGCTGGAATTGCAGGAGAAGAACTTTAAATATAAAATATACCAACCTTTATAGGTTGGATTTTGATGCTGAGCCATATGAATATATAACTTTATGGAATAGAAAATAGAATAGAATTTTAAAATAAAATAGAATTCTATTTTAAAATTAGGTGGTAGCTGTATTGAATTATAACCAACATTGTGGAATTTGACTAGTTTTGAGGAACTTTGGATCTGTCGGATGTTAAGAATAGCAAAATAAATTATACTGAAAGATTAAAAAAGCAATGTTTCCAAATATTAAAGATGGGGTTCAAGAAATATTGTTTTTTTCTCTATTAATAAAAAATGACACTTTCCCCTTTTGTATAGATTTCATATTTTTTAGGATTGACAGTTATATGTACAATATATCAAAACGTTTTGCTTTTAACAATTATATACATTTATTTTCTTGTTATTATATGCATTGCATCTAGTATTGTATGTGATAAGTTGAAATTCCAATATTTTAGGATAGAAAATGCACTGATCACCTGAAAATAACTAAATAGAACAGAATATTTGTAGCTCAGGATTGGACTGTGCAATCCTTGGTGCTCTCTGAGCTTGGTTCTTTTCTTGCAGACGTTTTATTACCCAGCTTAGGTCACAGCATCAGTACTAGAAAGGAATGGGATTTGCTCTCTGTTAATTGATAAAGATGGATTTCTGGTATCGGGCAAAGGAGGCATCTCACACCTAACAGTAGCCTCCTATGTTAGGTTTTAAATTTTAGCGCCTCTTTAGCTTGTCTTGGCCTTCTCAGCCTGGATAACTCCTAAAGATGTAGACCAGCTCTCTGCATTTTTTTAGCCAATATACCTAACGCTAGAAGATTCTAGGAGTTGAAATGCACAACTACAGGGCAGCAAATTTGCAGAATCCTGGTCTAGTGAGAATCCTAGGTTTTAATGCACCCACATATTTGGAAGCCAACGGAGTGACTTTGGTCCAGATGCTTTCAGCCTGACCTGTTGATTACATGGAAACAAAATAGATCTTATACTTAGAAATAAGCACCTATCCAATAACAATATTAGCGGGAGAAGTCTCCATTTTGTTGGGATACAGTGGAAGAATTAAGGAATTCTTTCATTTAAATCTTCTAACGGCTTTCTTTTCCCCCCCCCCCCATAGGTCGTGAAAGGCAGCTGAATTGTGTTAGGTGTACTCTACCTGGGCCATGTCCTCTATATTGCCCTTCACCCCACCGGTTGTGAAGAGACTCTTAGGGTGGAAGAAATCTGCTGGTGGCTCAGGCGGTGCTGGTGGAGGTGAGCAGAATGGGCAGGAAGAAAAGTGGTGCGAAAAAGCAGTGAAAAGTTTGGTCAAGAAGCTCAAGAAGACGGGACAACTGGATGAGCTTGAAAAAGCAATCACTACCCAGAACTGCAATACAAAATGTGTCACAATACCAAGGTAAGAATTTTCTAAAGCAAAATGGACTGTAGTAATTTAAATATACAGCAAAGGTGCAGTCTTGTTTCCCTTTTATTTATCTATCAATATTTGGTTATGGGCAGTACTTATTTACCAGGGTATATTGGCTCTTCAGTCAGTTAACCACATTTAAATATCCTCCCATTTGGAACATTAACTTCAGTGTTGTAAGCCAAAATTTGCTAGAAAAATTTGTCTAAGTTGTCAATATTGGTTCCAGGAAGTCTACTTTTCTTCTTGAGTATCAAGAACATATGGGTATATTTTCCTAGTGGGTTTAAAATGACAAGTAGGGAAGCTGTATATGTGATGAATTGGGAAGTATTCCCAGAAGAGAATATGGATTCATTTATTTAAACAAAAAAAAAAAAAGAGTTTTTCTTTTGGAACATTATGCACTCGGGTCTGATTCCTTCATGTGTCCCGGTCTTCTTAAAAAACCAGTATATATAGTGATGAAATACCCAAATGAAAACCAAAAGATCTAATATGAATAAATATTTATAAAGCATAAATGATGCCCGTAGAAATTTATGAGTATGATAGAAGCTTAAATGAAAGGGAATATGGTAAACATACATTCTGAATACTCATTTGCTGAAAATTGTAACGTCTTGCATGCTACGAATTCTGGAGAGTGTTCAGATACTTCATTAAACAAAGACACTTCATTAAACAAAGCTAGGTTAAGGCTAGATACAACCAACGTATTTAAAGATATATGTATTCAACAGTAACAGCCATTAATGCACTGATTCTGTTTGGGGGCTGCTTGGGTCAGGATGGACCGGGATAGGAGGGAAGCTACTGCTGATTCAAAATGTTGTGGCCCATTGATTGCCACTCCAAATTAAAGATGTGCCCTTACTCAAGTCTTACACTACTGATAGGGTAAGTGTGATAGAATCTAGGGCGGAGGTGGAGGGAGGGAACACATTCCAGAGAAGTAAGAGGCAACTCAGCCTAGATATCATGTGCGAGAGAAAGAGGGTGAAAACAGCCCCCTCTAAATAGTTACACTGTCAACTCATAAAACAATTCTATTAGAGTTGCCAACAGAAAGGGAGGGGGGAGCAGTGCGACAGCTCTGTATATTGTAGATGCAGATAGTAGAGTGTTCAGTATGGCAAGATTTTGTCTAGAGGATGTCTGTAAATAAAGAGCTTGAACAAATTATGTTGCATCAGTTGCTAGTTGGCTTCTGAGTACAATTCAAGCTGCTAGTTACTACTTACAAATCCCTATATGACATAGGGCCTAACTATCTAAGGGAACACTTACCTTCTGTTCTTTGTGCACGCCCGCTGTGTTCCAGCAGGCTAGGTGCATTCCTTCTCTGTCACAGCCTCACCCTCCTCCTCCTCCTCCTCTGTCCCAGCCCGCCAGACACAAGGACCATGCCCTCTCTTCTAGGGTTCAAGCAAGCTCTTAAAACTGGCCTTGGTCCTGGCCTGGGGTTAATGTATTGTTAAAGCCTTGCATTTTGGGGTACCACATTTTGCTTTTGTTCATTTGTTCATTTCATTTGTGTCATTTTGAGATCCTTTTGTCTTGGCCATCGGTATGGTTTTAGGTTTTATTTGTGTGTATGGATTTTATTGGTACGCTCCCCAGCGTCAGTTGGGGCTGGATAGCTATGGTAAATTGAATACATATAAGTGTGTATGTGTTTGTTTCAATTTATTGTAGCTACCTAGGACCAATTGACTCTGAAGAGCATACCATGTAAGCCATAATGGAAAGCGGCCTGCTTAAATTGCTGTTAAGTTTGAGTGTTACAACAGTAACCTCACTGAAAACTTTGCTGGTTTTTTTGGTGCTATTTGCTGAAAAATGTTGTGCTATTTTAAGGGCAGGGGTCCCCAACTACCAGGTTGCATGGCCTGTTCGAAACAAGAGCACAGGAGAGATGGAGCAAGCATGCACGGACTCAATGCTCCTCTTGCACAAGTGGAGAGTGCTTGCGCTCATGTGTGAAACTCCATTCACGCATTGAGCTTTGCACATGAGTGCTTGCACAAGGAGAGCTTCACACACGAGCACAAGGACCCTCTGCTTGGACCTTTGTGCATAAGTGCAAGCATCCTCCGCTTGTGCATGAAGCTGCATTTGTGGGAGCAGTTGGTGCGTGAGCCCGCTGCTTCCACTAATTGAGTTGTGAGTGCGCCCATGCGCCTGCCACTCACACCCCCTCTCCACCATGTCGGGCCAGGCCACCAAGCTAGAAAGATTGGGGATCGCTGCTCTAGGGTCCTTTAGCACAAATGCACTAATTTGGGCAGTAAATGACACCTTGCTTGCAGGTGCTCACTCTACCTTTTTCAGTTGGAAGAGAGTCATATTGTTAATACCTATATATACTGCCACAAATTTTAGGAAGGCATGGGCCTTCTTTAGTAGAAAATTCTGTTAAGAACCAAAATCTTTGATTCCAGCTGCATGGAGCTCATTCGGTTTTAATCAGCCCTAATCATAGCCTAAGTGATAAAGTATCACCTCCTGATCTCACCTACAGTGACAAGTGGAAATTTCTTGCCCACAAAATCTCCTGCTGGAGACAGAAATACTAACCATGCAAAGAGATTCTTAAATGACAGCACCTGAGTGGGAAAAAATTCAGCCTCTTTGTCATAAACTACTTGTGTGGTGAGATCACCTCCATTGGGGCTTCCACCAGCATGCCTGCCACCACCACAAATATAATATCACCCACCATCATTAAATCCACAGATCCAGCGTTTCTCTTCTCCCCTTCCTGGTTCTGAAGGGGGCCACTGCAATGAGCATTACCCTGTTGCTGCATCATCCAACTATTACCTGTTATGCATAGAAGTCATGATAATACCCACTCCAATTTACATCTGACTACTCACATAGCTTTCCCTAACCTAGGTAACTTGTTACCCCAGATTTTCCCTTTGGTCATTGGATTCAGTATCCTTCAGATTGAAGGGATTCTGACAAAATGTGATCAATATTTTAAGTCTTATTCTGCAACATGCTATGCATTCTTATGCATATGATACTTTGCCTTAATGGTAGTGCAGGCTTGCTTCTTCAGATCCTTTTTGGATTGGTGGGGGTCCCTAGAAACTTCAGGAAGTACCTCATAGTACTCATAGTTTGCTTCAGGTTAAAAGAAGTACAGGTACATCCATGCTTGAAGTGATTACTCATCCCTCCTCCAGGTTATGACTTGCCTGTGATACCAGATTTATTTTACATCTTCTCAGAATCTTTGTATCAATTCAGAACAACATTGGTATGTTGCTAAACTTGATCGAGGCCATGTTTTCCACATTATTTATTTATTTGCTTTTTATTCAGGAGCTCAGGATGGGATGTGCAGTAGTGCTCCCTCCTATACTTCCCCCATGATTCCTTCCTTCCTTCCTTCCTTCCTTCCTTCCTTCCTTCCTTCCTTCCTTCCTTCCTTCCTTCCTTCCTTCCTTCCTTTCTTTCTTTCTTTCTTTCTTTCTTTCTTTCTTTCTTTCTTTCTTTCTTTCTTTCTTTCTTTCTTTCTTTCTTTCTTTCTTTCTTTCTTTCTTTCTTTTTTTCTATGGCTATCTATCTCAGCCCAGTGACTCTGGACAGTTTACAATGCTAAAACTATAAAATGGTTAAAACAATTAAAAACAATACATTAATAAACAGTGCAGTAAGATAAGATAAGAGTTACTAGTTCAAAGTCATTCAGTGACCACTCATCTTAGGGCAAACTACAATCTAATATCAAGTATTTAGCAATGGCAGGCAATTCTCCCAACTTTTAAGAGAGAATTCCCTTCCGACATTATTTAGGCAGTATAAACCTGGGGAGCAAATTCTATATGACTTAAGTATCTGAGGATGTTGGAATGGTCAAGAATGCCAAGGTCATTATCAGTTGTCTAGAGGCCATTGATCATCTGAAAGGAGTGCCACACATTTGAACAAGTACTATGAAAGAGGATAGAACATATTGTCTCCGACACTTCAGTTGCAGTCAGTTAAATCAACACGTAGCCAAGTGTGAAATGATGTTCCCTTCTATGCCTAATTGGACAATTCTGAAAATATACCATCACACACCAATTACCTCCAGTGGCAGGCAGCCTCCCAGGATCCAATCAACACGTTAGTAGGTGTGGTAAGTCTGGAAGCTAAAGTAAATCAAGAATACGTCATAGGAATGTAACACATGTACTGTTTAAATACCAGGAGAGATCAATCACGATCTCTTTGTCTCCACTCAAAGTACTCTTTGAATGGTCATTTTGTATTAATACAACCACTCACTTTTTTCCTCTATTGATGCTTACTCCTGAAGTGCTTTCAGTCTTATAGAAATCTCAGGTCCAGACAATTCTGGAAAGGCTTCTGTGTGTGAAGAAGACAATATCTTGTTATATTTTTATCTTGCCTTTTTTATACAGTGGTACTCAGTACTCATCGTTAATTGGTTCCAGGAGGCACGATGAATACCAAAAATGATGAGTACCAAATACATTTCTCCCATAAGAAATAATGTAGTGAGTCACAAGGCAGCTGACATCAACAAGTTTTAGCTTGTGCATTGAATACCAAACAAACTAGTATCGGGACAAAACGCTTGTACAAAATATATTGAGTACCAAATTTGATGAGTTTCAAAGCAATTGAGTACCAAGGTACCACAATATATGTAATTCAAGGTGATGAACATATCTAATACTTTGGCCTCCTAATTTCCTTACAACAACAATCCTGCAAAGTTGGGTAGGCTGAGAGAGAGTGACTAGCCTAAAGTCATCCAGCTGGCTTTCATGCCTAATGGAAGTGGCTAATGAGAGGGGAAAGAAGCCTGTGGGAAGACCAGGCTGAGCCTGAGGGTGGGGTCAAATTCACCATCAGTTTCGAATCTCTACACCCATGTAAGAGACCTAACTCGCACCAAAGTCCGTTGAGTTTTATCTAGTGCTAATTCACCTTGACCACTAGTAGTTCAGATTCTTGTGTAT